ATGAGGCTTTCTACTCCCGTAAGGATTTACACCCTCGGAAACCCTGTACAGGGTCGCTATGGGTCAGAACCGACTCGACGGCACTTAACAACAACAACAAGCCCATCTAGTCTGTTGCCAGAATACCCTGTTCTCATTATCTCATCCACTGTGTCTAGGCACACAGCCCAGTACCTCAAGACTCCCTTTCCTTCCCAAGCTGTATACCACACATACACAGCTTGACACACATAACTTGTTTACTCCATAATATAAAAGGGTTACAGTCTGATCTCTTGATGTAGAACCACATGTGTCCAACCCATTGCTACTGCTGTCCTGGTCTGTAAATTCCCCTGCTGGAATAAACTAATACCTCTCAGACTGGTCAGTTTTTGTTTATTTGTTTTTTGTTTTTTTTCAGACTGGTCAGTTTTGAGATCTCCTGGTAACCACACATTCAGAGAGTTTTTTTCCTGTTGATAATCAACCCAAATAGTACTGCTGAAACTTCTTTTGAATCATCTGCAGCATAATTTTATTTTTATGTGATATTAATGATATTCTTCAATAATTTCTGACTTCTGATCACTTTTCTTTAGAATGAGCACATATATGAGTCTCTTCCAGTCGGTTGGTCAAATAGCTATCTTCTAAATTTCTTGACAAAGACAAGTAATTTTTTCCAGCATTGTGTCTATTTGTATAAACACCTCATATCCAAGCTGCTCGGCTCCCCTCATACTAGCGCTTCTTGATCATATGCTACTGACTGAAATGGTTGAGCACTAGACAATGTTTTTTGGTATGGTGATTCTGTGTATTCCTTCCATGTTCTGTTTATGATTTAAAACAAGTTCATGAGAGCCAAAATATGACCTTGAACATATCCCAATTGAATTTAGAAAACATTTCAAGAACAGATTTGATGCAGTAGACACTAAAGACAGCAAACCAGAAGAGTCATGGGATGATATCAAAAACATCAAATAGGAATAAAGCAAAAGGTCATTAAGAAGGCAAGAAAAAAAGAAAAGACCAAAAAGGATGTCAAAAGAGACTTTGAAACTTGTTCTCCTATAAATTATAACCTGTTCACTTCCCTAATGAGTCCCATAATCGTGCATATTGTTATGAGTTCTGTGTGGCCATTGCAATGGACTGTCCAACTCAGATGTGAAGCTGAGAGTGCTGTGGGAGGGATGGTTGGTGACAGAACAGGATAAGGAAGGCTATAGGATGAAGGTTTGTGTGACTTCCGCTTCATAGGAATTGGCCTTGGGATGATTCTGAGTTTGATTCTCTTTCTCCTGTATGAACGCAGAGAAGATCAAACATGGTCCCCACATTGTTTAAGCACTGTTCTGAACAGACGTTATGGATTTTCATCAATACTTAGAAACCACAAAAAATAGAAATCAACATAAATCTATACTGTCGCTAGCATCGAATCTTCTTAGATATAGTGAATCATGTGACATGAATAAACTTCAAATTGAGGATCATACTGATGACGTGATTGTATATTTTCCATAAAAACCAATAAGCACTTCTATTTATTTCTCCTTTGGAAGACCTATCAATGGTCTCTTGTTTAAAGATAACAACAATCTAAAATTTAACCTCCCCTTCAACTTCTGAAACCAATACATGGAGTTTAATGCATGGAGTTTCATCACCAATGAAGAAAGGAGAGGAAAACACAAAGAAATTTTTCTTCATCTAATTTGATTTGCTCTTCTTTTCTTTTAGTGATTGGAGTTCTAGAATGTCTGCTTGGTTCTTTTCTAAATTCATCTGTTCATCCTTTTTCCCCATTGTCTCATTATTGCTTTAAACATTCTCTTCGATCCTTAATCAACCCTTACAGATTATTATCTTTAGTTCTGTGCTGTGAAGACCATCACTTATTGTGTCTGCTAACTCATTTACAGCAGTTTCCTCATTTGGATGATCATTTTTTACTATATGTTTATCTCTAGTGAGAGCTTTTTTTCATGAGAGTCCTGAATTTCCCGAGTAGGTCCCTATGGGTCAGTTCTGCTTTTCTCGTTGCTGCCATCTTTGAATGTCAGGGATAATTCCAAGGTCCGTTTTTCAGGGTTGCTGTGTTTCACATTCAGCACCAAACTGGACACCACAGTTGCTAATGGCATAGGTCTGGAGTACTAATTTATCTTGGGGAACTCTTTTTTTCTATCTTTAATCTAATCTGGACAAGCAGCTAGCTTCCTTGCTGCTTCCCACTCCAAAGCCCATTATAGAATCTCAAAGAAGAAAAGACTCTATTAGAGAAATAGGAAAAGACTGGGTTAGGCTCCTTTTACACTATGTAGCAATTATATCAGAACATAACATTTTCCCTCTCTACTGGATCATTTTCACTAACATGTACTATATTAACTCACACATCTCCAGAAAATTTGCCTTGGCCTTACTTTTACCAAATGCTGTCATTCCACTCCTCTATTCAACTTAACAATAAAACTCCTCAAAAGAAGTGTCATTACTGAATGACTCCAATTTCTCTCCTCTCTTATTCTCATAAGCCTACTCTAAACATGTTCTTTTCCCTATAACCTTTAGAAATTATTCCTGTCAAGGATCAGTGATCTCCATGTCACTGGTCAATGCTCTGTTCTCATCATACTCAACTGATCATCAACACAGTTGAGGAGACAAATGAGGTGCTGATCCCAACTGTGCATTTCTAAATAGTCACTATAGAGGCTTTCTAAATGGTTCCGCACAATGAAGTTTAGAATATGCTACATTTTCAAAGTATAGCTTTTAAAGACCTTTGTTTCATAGTTTAAGAGTATATATTCATAGATTTCTTTGTAAGAACCCTTAAGACTTTAGAGGGTAGTGAGTTTATGATAAAGGGAGAGGAACAACCAAGACAAGGAGGGTAGGAATGGGTACACAATATGAAGAATGCAGTCAGTGTCAGTAACTTGTGTGTGCAGAACCTGTTGATTTGATGTATGTTTTGCTGTGCATTTTCTCAACAATAACAACAAAATAACTAAAAGTTGTTAGATTTTTTTTTTTTAAAAAAGCAAAAAGGAATATATGTATTATCTCTAAAAATAAAATTTTAAAATGTGAAACTCTGATATTTTGGATATTCTATATATGACATTAAACATCCTAGTTGTGTGCTTTAGTAAAGCAACTGCTTTTTTCCTAGCTGTGGTTTTAGATCTAATAATATCTGAAAATTTTCCTAGAAGCAGGGAGAAACAAGTATAAACAACGGATTTAGGAATTTCTACAACGTAATGAAAATGTACGTTGATTTAATGAAGTGAGCGTGAGGAAGAAGCTGTCATGCAAAGCAAACCTCTTCTGCACATGAAGAGCCTCACCTGTACGCTGCCCGGTGTTTCTGCAAGGCAATGGCAGCCATCAGAAGCCTGGCCTCCACGACAGTCTCCAACTCGCCAACAGGACACTGACAAAGGTCCTTGGGACCTAAACACTCCAACTCTGATAGAAGGTACCTTAGCTTCTCCTCTGCTTCTGACAACAAAATCAACTACAGAAAGAGAACCACACTGTTACGTAAGCTCAGAAAGAAGGCACATAATGTCTCATTCTCATCCAGCAAATGTTTTCCATTTTGAACATTCACAATAAATGAAAGGCCAATAAAGGAAACTGGTATCTAATCATCAGAAAAGATGAGAGCTCGGTGAACAGGAAAAAGGTAATTGGATGAAAAGGAAAGTAACAGCAAGAATTACTGTTAGCTTCCATGGAGTTGACCTCCCCACGCACGCACACACACACACACACACTCACAGTGACCTGGTATACGACAGAATCAAAGGCTGTCAGGTTAGCTTCATCTCCATGACCAGTGTGCATCAGACTGCTGCGATTCATAGGGGTTCCATTGGTTGATTTTGGAAGCATATCACAAGGCCTTTCCTTCTAGTCTGTCTCTCTGAAAGCTCTGCTGAAAGTTGTTCAGCATCATAACAACATGTAGGCCTCTGCTGACAGATGAATGGTGGCTGTACAGGACATGCATTGGCCAAGAATTGAACTAGGATCTCCAATATAGAAGGGGGAAATTCTACCACTGAACTGCCCCTGGCCCTGTTATGTATAATGGTGATGGTGGTGGTGTGCCGTGGAGTCGGTCCTGACTCATAGCATCACTGTAGAGGTTTTCTGAGGCTGTCAGTCTTCATGTGAGCATAAAACCCTGTCTTTATCCACACAGCGACTGGTAGAATCGAACTACTGACCTCGCGGTTAGCAGCTAAGCTCATAATCCACTATGCTACCAGGACTAGTTACCTTTTATTGTATGTATTTGAAGTGAAACCAGTAATGTGAAAGCAATGACATTTATAGTGGACTATCAATATGAAGCAGCAACTTATCACAACAAAACAGAAAGGAACCAACAAATCCTGTAAGTAACAGTCCTCTTAGAACTTGTTTATAGAAAGTGCTGAAAACTATATAAATGCTAGAGCAGTTTAATATAATAATTAAAGTCAGAGATGTTAGAATAAAAATGACCTAGGTCCTACCATGAGTTCTGCCATGTATTAATTGCATAATATAAATTAATTTCTTACACTCTCTAAGCCTCAGTCTTCTCATAGTTCAGCACAACACAGTTAAAAAATGATTCATATTCTGCTGTGTATATTCTCAATACCAACAATGAAAATAAGCTACTGAATATCAAAATGATTAATAATGTACATTATAGAGTTGTGAAAACAATCATCAAGCACCTATCATGTTATTGTTGTGAAGTGCCTATGAGTTGGTTCCGACCCATAGTGACCCTGTTTAGGGTTTCTAAGGAGCAGCTGGTGAGCTTGATCTGCCAACCTTGCAGTTCAAACGGCTTTGCAGTCTGGCGCATTAACCCACAGCCCCACACCAGGACTCCAGCTATCATGTAGTAGGCACCAACAGTGGTTGCTGTTTTGTACTCACTACTTTTGTTAGAAAATAGAATCAGAGGGCACATAATACTCAAATCCCATCAAATAGAGAATATTTTCTGCAGTAGCCTAATCAGGTTATAAACTCAAAGAGTGATGTTTTTGGGCATCTACTTTCCTCATTGGTGGTGAACTCCATCTCTGGCCCAAATCTGTGTTCAAGCAAGCAGAAGCAACCTGGTTCTCTAAAGCAAGCACAAACCTGCAAGTGATCCAGGCCAAAGCCTAACAGCGGACATTCTGGTAGTGGTGTTATTATGATTTGAAAGATTTTCAAACTTACCTTTAGCGTGCTAAGTATGGAATCATCTCTAATTTTTGTAAACTCAGTATGTGAGCCACCGTCATCCTTTACAATTAGTTCTATAAGGACACACAAATTTTGGAAGAAAAAAGGATAGCTGTAGTTAGTTTAAATAATTGATTCTTTTTTTTTATACAGCTCATTATTAGTGGAGAAACTATAGGTAAATTTAATAATAAAAAGCAAGCACAATGGTAATTAGAAACGTATTCCTATGCCAATTAACGCATAAATACAACACATTAGAAAGCTGATTCTTCCAATGAATAAGAGAAATAAGAAAGGAACTTTTGGATGCTTAAAAAAGTTGTTGAAGTTATCAACTACAAATCTAACACAGAGCTTCCTTCCTGAGTTTCCAGGGCACCTTAGAACCCTCCAAGTAATTTTGACATTTCAGATATTTCTACTATTTCAGTAAGATCTCTTAGGAAGCATCAGTTCTGTTGGTTTGCATAAATAGCCTCACTGTAAGAACATTTCAAGCAGTGTAAGTGAAATAATTCCTGCTCACAATCCAAAGTCAGTACTTATTTTGAGCCAACAAGAAATTAGAGAATTTAGGCCATACTCTTTGACTGTCTTCAGTATATCTGGCTTCTAAATTACAGGAGAGAGAAAAAAAAAAGCCCCACTAATTATTATTTGACTAGAAATTACTCTTAAAAAATAAAACAAAACAAAAACTAATTCTAAAGAGAAACTAAGTTTGTCAATGGGGAGGAGTCATCTAAAATAACATGGAACTGAACACATCTAACTTTCTCTCTGCTCCCAGACCCAACCTATATAACGCTTCTAAAATTGGAAGTTGGCTGGAGCCTCCTAATGAAGTTTCAGTAAGAGTGTGTCTGAGGGAGAGCAGAGTTAGGACTGAGTTTTCTCTCCTAAAAGAAAGAGTAATAAATACACTTGTTAAATGCCATCAAGTTGGTGCTGACTCATTGCGGCCCTGTATAGGGTTTCCGAGGGGCAACTAGTAAGTTTGAACCAGCAACTTTGCAGTTCAAATCGAGTTGCAGTCCAGTGCATTATCCCACAGTGCCACAGTAGGACTCCAAAAAATACAGAGACAGAAAGAAAACAAACACCTGGAGACTGGTATGAAAGAACACTAGGATGAGTATCAGAACATGAGCGATCCTAGAATAATATTTATGGACATGTGAGATAAGATTAACATGGGTCTCACACAGTGATTCTGGCCCCCCTAAAAGACAAAGAAAAGCTGGTCAGGTTAGCCATGACTTTTCCACCCAGCAGCTAAGAAATATGAGGATCTGGTGCTGTAGTCATGACCTGCCTATGGTTCACTTCACCTTCTATCACTGTATGACTGCTACCAATAAGACTGGAACTCCATTGAGATGCCCAGGAGAAATAACAAAACCTCGAAGAGCTGTGATTCAGACCACTCAGGTTCACTCATGTTTTTCTCTACTTCCTGAGCAGGTGGCAAGAAAAATACATATCTTTTTGCACTTCTATAGGGTCTTTATTCTTCTAAAGAGGAATTTCAGATTGAGGCACTTGAGAATACCCTGTAGGATAAGCACTAGACTGCTAAGGATAAGGTTGGTAATTCAAACCTACCAGCTGCTCCTTAGGAGCTCAATACAGGGTCTCTATGAGTCAGAACTTACTTGATTGTATTAACAACAGTGGCACCCCATATTTGCAAGGATAGTAGAGAAAGGACCTAACTATGAACTCCAGGAAGGGAAGATAAGCATTAAGAATATGAACAAATAGATAAATATATGATGTTCTTTGAAGGAAAAAAAGTAAAAAAATATTGTTGTTGTTGTTGTCAGGTGCCATCGAGTCGGAACCGACTCATAGCGACTCCATGCACAGCAGAACGAAACAATGTTCGATCCTGGGCCAA